AAAAAAAAAAAAAAAAAAAAAAAAAAAAAAAATTCCTAGTGACTCAGTCTTTGTGTCACTATAGCCCAGGTAAGTAAAGAAGCCTCCAGAGGAGTCCAAGATTCAGCCATTTCAGCCATGTTAAAGAGTGCCCTGGACATCATGGAGATTAGACATCTCCACCTTGCCCTAGTCAAAGTCCTGGTCCAACAGAATCTTTAGGTACATAAAGTTTTTATTTTATATCAACTTTTGTAGTTTTTTTTAAATGGAGTAGTTTTTAATGCAAGAAAATATCATAGATGTTTTCTGGGTTTCTACTAGTTCTTCAGAACTGTTTTTAAAGAGTATAGTACTCTATTATGTAATATATTCCACAATTTAGGTAAAATTATAACTGGTTTCTGTAATAACTACAGTGAATATCTTTATTAAATAATTTTTCTTTGGTATTTATCATTATTTGTCATAAATTTCCAGAATGTCTGTCTGAACTATGATTAAATTTCTAAGTTTTATACTAACTCATTCATATGTGTGTGTGTGTGTGTGTGTGTGTGTGTGTGTGTGTGTGTATAGAGAGAGAAATATTTTACATAGTAAAGAAAAATATTAAAAAAGAAAATTCACTTTAATATTTTTAAAAATTCACCTGAAAAATTATCTTTTAACTATATAAGGCCTATGGAAAGCAAAAGAATATGGCCCAAACTCTGTGGTGCCTATATGTAATAGTGTCAACAAGATCTCATGAGTCAAATATAAAAAGCTAGCCATCACAACAGGTAGAGGGAGAAAAATAAAACCAGGATAGGAAACAGGAAGGCAGACCTTTTGAACATGGGAAGGGGAGCTAGGGAAGGAAGGAGAAAAAATGAAGGAAAGAGGAATAGAAAGTACAAAGGATTAAGATGCAACATGCATATGTAACACCTCCTTACAATGCTTGTATTCATTATGTATTGCAAACATGTACTAAAAGAAAGCAAGTTAAGTAATTGTTAATTGATTCCACTCTGATATAAACTGAAATAAAGCATATGCACTTGAAATAGCAAGCAAAGATGGTAACAGCTGGGGAGGAATACCGTAGTTTTGGTTTAGGAAGTCCAAAGAGTTCTGGCTATGTGGCAAATGTCACTATTCTCAGGGATTTGCTGCATACTTTTGAACCTAGCTGAGATTTAGCCCACATTCCCATCCCACATTCCTCTAAACAAGCTCTAAGCCCTTGAACATATATCTTTGGAAAGGGAGGTTTTTTCTAACTGATGAGCCCAGTGTGGGTGTATTATAATTTCTACCCTTAAAGTTGTCAGTACCAGCTGTTGCCCTTGGTGTAACAGAGAAAGAGGGATAGTCTTGACTGCAGCTTTCCCATTATAACTCATCATGAGCTATTTCTGCCTTTCTTTCTGGGCTCTGAGATCTGTGTCAAAATGGAAGATGATTGGTTCCAAAAGGATTGGATGTCAGTGTGCATAACATCACCCTTCTAAATCCTACTAGTAATTATGTCTGCAAAATTGCTACCTATCCCCTAATACTGTAGCTGACCCTGTGGTCCAATGTTTAATCATACAGACACTAACTGAGAAAATCTGGATTAGAATTTTGCCTACCTAGTTACCACTTAGGTAATAGAAGAAATTTTTCTGAACCCTTTTTTTTCCTGAGATTCAGTTTCTTCATCTGCAATACCAGTATAATAATGAAAGCACTTACACTGTATGGATGTTTTTAAGATTAAATGAAATAATATGTATAAAGTGCCCACTATTTAAATATTTGATAAATATTAACTCATTTTTTTAAAAAATAGGAAAACACACCAATATATAAAATGATAAAAACTAATTCTTACCCTTGACTTACCTGCAAGGGAACCTGGGACAAGTATAATTTTAGCCTTTCAAATTTTTCAAAACATAAAGGCTGTAATAAAGTATGAATGAAGTATCAGATCTACATATTCAACATGACTTTTAAGCATTCTCCCTCCATATAATTCTGTGTCCTTTGAATGACCAGAGAAGCACATTTCAAAATGCATTCTGTATATTACAGAACTATGAGGTAATGTTACAAATGCAATTCAGTAATTTGTACAGCCTGTAAATGGCAGAAGTGGAATTTGAATCCAAGCAGTTTTGCTCCAGAGCCACTATTTTTAATTACTTTTTTTGTTTTTGGTACCAGGGATTGAACTCAGGTCCTTGTGCTTGCGAGGCAGGTGGCAGAACCACTAAGCTAAATTAAACCCCGACCCTTAATTACCATTCTTAATTGTATAATAAGATGCTCCTGTCCTGTATTTAAACTTCAACCCCTAAAAGTATTTCCAAAATTTACTTAAAGTGTTATGTGATAAAATGTCCAATAGTAAACATTTCATATTGCCATTAAATTATATAATATATACACAGAGATATAGAGTAAATTTCACATTACATTAGCCAAATAAGAAAAACACATTTAATGAATATCTTTGAAATTTTTGGATAAATCTCAAACTGACTAGCTCTTAGAATGGCAAGGATTTAGCCATATTCATGTGATTTAGAAAAAAAATTATTGTGCTTCTGCTTCACATGTTAATTTACACTTTTGAATTTCCTTATATTTATGCTGCCTTCCCCCTCTTGGTATAGACCATGTAAATGGACACTGCACAAGTCCAACTTCTCAAAGTTGCGGATCTGGAAAACGTCTTTCTAGTGCTGATGTTTCAAAAGTAAATCGCTGGGCTCCTGGAAGACCACCATTTCGAAAGGCACAGTCAGCTGCTTGCATGGAGATTTCTTTACCAGTTACAGCAGAAGGTAGGTTAAACATATCAATTTTTGTGAGTAAAGTTCATCTGTACTGTGGTAGCAGATGGTGGGAGACAAGCTATGGAAGCCACATTTAAAGGCAGTGAGTAACTAACTGAGAGCTTGGTAAGGCTACCACCATGACTAGAATTAGCTGAGGGATGAAAAGGAGAAAGTAGGAGTACTTACTATATTTTAATTCCTGGAAAAGTCATCTGGGAAACTTATGTCTCTTTCTTTTTTTGGTACCAGGGATTGAACTCTGGTCCTTGCACTTGCAAGGCAGGCCACCGAACCGCTGAGCTAAATCCCTGGCCCTTATGTCTCTTTCTTTTTTTGGTACCAGGGATTGAACTCTGGTCCTTGCACTTGCAAGGCAGGCCACCGAACCGCTGAGCTAAATCCCTGGCCCTTATGTCTCTTTCTTTATAAACAGTTATGAGACACATTTGCCACCTATCCAGAGGGGAAGGACAGTGAAGGTACTGAAAAGAAAAGTATAAAGAATTTGTACTCTAGAGCAATTAAAAGAACAGTACAATTTCACTAAAACTTGACAGAGATTAGTGAGGTTATGTTATGCTTGTCCAAGTTTGCCCGTGTACAAGTGTAGATAATCAAGAGAATATGAAACCATTATTTCCTTTGAGTGAGCTAAAACTCAAATGATCAGAAAGATTACTACCATTGATAGGATGGCATAGTCTACAGCTTTTTACTTGGCCATTGGCAAAGTTGGAATGAGATTTGGATTCAAGGTAGGCAGCTTGATACCCATTCAAAGAGATAATATTTGCATTTTGGCATTGGTATAGACCTTAATTCGTATAGCTGTAATTACCCTTAGATATGTAATATATTTATCACAGAATATTTATGACCTAACCTAGTCCTTTCATTTCCATAGCCACAATAGTGTCACTAAGTGGGAAATGTCAAAAATCATTAATATTTTTACATTGAAAGATAGGAAAACAGTACAACATCAAAAATTCTTAAAACTTTGACTATTTAGATTGAATATATTTTTCCAGATTAAAAATTTTTAACTAATATGTGAGGTAATATAGAAAAATTTAAAAATGATAAACTGAAACTTAGGAGACTCAAGGTCTGATGTTAGCTCTGACTAACTTTAACATTTATACTTCTGGACTTCAACTTCTACATTTTCTAAATAAGCTGGTGAGTTATATGAAATATCTTCCAGATCAATCACTGAAGAATAAAATTCTATTTTCGGTTCATAATTTTAGTCTTCATATGTTAACCTTACTTTGCTTATTTTGGAAATATACTAATATTTAATTTTTATCTTTACATTCTCAATAGAAAACAGAGAGAATTCCTATAATCGTTCTAGAAGCTCTAGTATCTCCAGTATTGACAAAGATTCAAAAGAAGCAATTACAGCATTATACTTTATGGCATCCTTTGCACGGAAAAATGACTCTGCCATCTCCCCTTGTCTGTTTGTTGGAACTAGTCTTGGAATGGTGTTGATCATTTCCCTAAACCTACCAATATCAGATGAACAGAGGTTTACAGAACCAGTCATGGTACTGCCAAGTGGTAAGAGTTTTTATTTATTCACTCTCTCATTCTTTTTCAAATTTAGATAAAAGGTATTGATAATTTGGGTTGTTTTCCTTCTTCACTTTTTTGTTAGTATATGTTTACAATATGTAATAAATGTTTTTAATCATAGGGAATTGGTACATAAAATATTGCATATTGACCCTTTTTATTTTCCCTCACCTATTTCCCCTGAAGCCTCATATCCACCTCCTGTATTATGTGGAAAAAAAATGTGAGTGTTATGTGTAATAAGAACTGAGAATTTCATAAATCATATACAATTCTAATATTTGTCATGTTGAGACTTACCTGTCCTTTAGGGTAAAAGAGTAGAATCATTTCTATGATATTAATTTGCGCAACTGCTAACCTAAACAGTGCCTTAAGAAATAAGTTTCTTAACTGAGTAAAACCTTAATGGAAAAGTTAAATTTAATTTTAATGAATTGAAGTATTTCTCCAAAGTTTTGTGCAAGATTGGAGCCTATGAGTGTTTTTACATCATCCTTGAGGAGCTCAGAACAATTAAACAACTAGACACTGTCTGACCTAATACAGATTTCTAAAATCTTTTACAATCTTCTCATCTTGTTTCAAAGGTGTATCACACAATCTCTTTTTTGTTCTAGTGCCTGGAAAATTTAATTTGTTATTAGTGTTCTTGCTAAGATATATGTTGTATTCTTTTCCTACTTGAGTTTTCTTTTCTTCCTTTCAAAGAAAGGATGAGTATGACTCCCCTTGTGTATTGGTTGGCTTTCCAACTGCTGGCACAAAATGCCTGACATACACAACTCATACTAGTAAATAAATTATCAGGCTCATGATTTGAGGTTTCAGTCCCTGGTTATCTGGCTCTGAGAAATATCATGGCGGAAGGGCACAGGGGAACACAGCTGCTCACTTTATGGCAGCTAGGTATATCCCTAAGGGAAGAATACTAACAAGAGATATAACCTCCAGAGGTACACCACCTCCTCCAGCTGGACACCACCTCCTGAAAGCATATTCACCTGTGAACATCAGTGTATTCAACTACGCACGACCTTAGCCCCCACCCCCACGGTCCCAGTCACCTCTCCAGGAGTCTCTTCATCAAGTCAAGTTGACAATTAAGATTAACTGTCATTATCTGCTATCCCTTTGAATAATTATAATGGGTTCTTACTATTAATTTTACTCTTTAATGTATAAGAAGTGTTTTTGGTAGTTCATAAGTGAAAAAATAAATTCATTAATAAATGGGATAAATGGATTTTATTTTTAAAAAATATATGGTATGGCAGATTAGAGAGTTGTATGTCCTTTGTTAACTAGAATGCTAAGTTCATATATTGAAAGGCAGACTATTCAGTTCTTTACTAGTGTGGCAAATGTAGATAAATCTATTGTGTTTTAATTTGTTAATATCACTTTATTATAAACATGTATTTCACAATAGAGAAATACTTTTTACTATACTCCCAATTTTAAGGAAACATACACAATTCTTTTTATTCTGGTTGAGTTAAAGCCAGATCAGTGAGGTTATAATGCATTATTAGTAATTGAAATTTATTCCTTAGCTCAACAAATGTGCCAAGCATTTCTCATATATTTAAAGGTTAAATAAAATTTTTATACCACATAAGCTTAAAGCCATACCACTGACCTCACTGATAAATCCAGTGGTCATTTTTCAAGCAACATCTTATTTGACATACCTACACCTTCAATTGATCTCATTTGTATTCTACAACGTTCTGTTTACCTAATTTTCTTACTGTCATTTTAGCTGTTCCTTTTGGTTTCATCTTCATTTCACTGGGAGTTATTCATCCGACTACCCCGACTAACTTCTTAAGCTTTTTCTCTTTTCTACTTAATGAAGCCCTTGATGAAATCAGTAAGCCTCATTACTTTCAGTGCCATTTATAATCTGATGGAACATATATTTATACTTTTAGTCTGAACCTAGCCTCAAATTTTTGACAGATATCTAGCTATTTGACATCTATGTGGATGTCTAATAAACATCTCAAAATTAATATGTCAGAAACGTAGCTCCTGATAGTCCTGGCTTCTTTCCCAAAGTCTTTCTGACATCTATTAATGATAGGTCTATTCTTCAGGTTCTCACAGTGAAAATATTGGTGTCATTCTTGACCTCAGTGTTTCTTTTACATCCTATCAAATAGTGACTTGGCCTTCACAGTATACTCAGCTTCTGACATTTCTCACCATCCGTATTGCTATCACTTGGTTCAAGCAAGCCTCTGTTTCTCACCTGGATCATATACTAACCTCTTTATTGCTCTCCTTTTTTCCAACCTTGATATCCTTTAGGATGTACCCAACAGAAAGAGTGATCCTATTAAATGAAAGTTAAATTATGTCACTTCTATTCTTAAACCTCTCATCTCATTCAAAAAAATAAAAAAAGTCTAAGAAAATATTTAACATGCCCTACAATGGGCATAATGGTGCCACTTTATTTCTCTGATTTCATCTCCTGTGAGTTTTCCCTTTGGCATTCTAGAAAATTAAGATCTATTGAAAGTCTAAGATTTTACTCTGTGCAAGATAAGTTAGATCACCAGTTGCATGGATGCTGATAGAAGACATGCGATTCCGGGATCAGAGAGAAAGGGTATTAGTAACAGCAGTCATAGAAAAGCAATACTTTGTCCTGTTTTCCTGAGCTTTTATGTCCACAGGATTATACAAAGAATCCTTCCCATTGTGTTAGTTTACTATAGGAAACAAAGCAGCTGTTTTGGCAAGGGAAACTCATTGAGAAACTCATTTTCATGCTGACACCTATAAGCATTGAGAATAAGCAAAATGGCTCCCAAAATATGTTTCTAATCTTTTAGTTTGTTTGTTTAGTTGGTTGATTGGTTTTTTAAGAGTTTTTCACTAGGTAGTCCAGGTTGGCCTCAAATTTGCTTATGTAGCCCAGCAGTCTGGCTTTGAACTTGTAATCCTCCTGCCTCAATTTCCTAAGTGCTGAGATCACAGGGATGGGCTACCATGCTCATAAAGGTTCTCTTTAGCCTAAATTAGGCCTTCTCTAAATCAAGAATATGAAGATATTTATATAGTTGTGCACTACTTAATGACATGGGTACATTTTGAAAAATGCATTACCAGGTGATTTTGTCATTGTATAAGCATCAAAGAGTGTACTTGCACAATTCTAGATGACTTATGTCAGTCACTCAATGTCGTCACAGGTACAGCCAACAGACATGGTAATATGAAATGTATGAGACTTCTACTGGTGTAACAGAGCATAGTGTTGATCGTAACACTTCTTTAATAAGTAGAACAGCACACAGCACACTGCAAAATAATGATAAAAATGTCATAAACACAGGATATTATTATCAAGTATTTTGTATTATACATAATTGTATATGCTACTTTACATACAGGCAGCACAATAGGTTTGGATTTTTTTAATCAGTATCACCATAAACATGTGAATAATGCATTATGGTGCTTCCAGTATCGCTAAGTAATAGGAATATTTCAGCTCCATTATAGTTGCATGGAACCACCATCAAATATGTGGTCATCATTGAACAAAAGGATGTTATGCAAGTCTTTCTACAGCAGGCAGTTATGAAAATGTGGTTTTTATGGAATAGCATAGTCAGTCCTGAAGTAATCCTAATTATATCATTTTTCATAACTTTTGGCATTATTCTTTTTTCATGGGATTTTGAGAAGTTATTTTATAACTTCATCTTTAAACTGAAACACCTAAATTGATATACCCTATCTTCTCAGTTACTCTTATAAGGTTTCTTTTTTTTTTTAATTGAGTTATTGGTACATTTTAGGTATACAGTACAGTTGCATTCATCATTGGGATCTTGTACCTTTACATGACAGGTCTTGGTTCTCATTTTTCCCCTTGTCCCTGCCCTCCTTTCTCTCCCTCCTCCCCTCCCCATTTACAAACACTTTATTTCCATTTTTTCATTTTCTCATATTTTTCTTTTCCCTTATTCCTTTTCCCCTACCCTTCCCACTTTCTCTACACCTTTAGCCCTTTTCTTCCTATTTCACATTGTCAATTATCTCATTAAAATCTTATGTAGTATTATAGTTTTTCACACCAGAGAAACTATTCAGTATTTACACGTGTGTGACTTATTTATTTCACTTAGGAGTATATCCTCAAAATGTATCCATTTTCCAATGTTATACAGGTTTCTTAAAGTGTGTTTTAAAATGTAACTGAGATGTTACATCCTCCAAATAGTTATTTGGAATTTGGTAAATTATAAGTACTTTATAGGTCAGTTACCTTCTAAACAGAATGTGTTTTCATTTGCTACCCTTCCCTCTTCAAGTCTGTGTTACATTTATAATCTTGAGACATACCTGCTTGGATTAAGACCCTTACTCTTGGAACTGGGGTTTAGCTCAGTGCTTCTGCTACTTGCCTTGAAAGCTTAAGGACCGGAGTTTGATTCCCAGTACAAAAGGGAAAGAGGTGGGGGGGGGCAGGAGAGGAGGGGAGGGGAGGAGAGGAGGGACCCTTACTGTCTTCATAATGTCAAAGGACAAAGGAAAATAAAGACTAGTAGGACACTGCTTAAGAGAGTCTGGAATACCTCTTTGCCTGTCTAATGCACTATCCTCTAAAAACTGGTAATCACTCATAATTAGTGATCTGGCATAGATATTCAACCTTGTTGAGTCTAGGTAAGCAAACAGGTTTTCTGATTAAGATGGATACTCTTTCCTAGAAGCTAAAGATAGTTATTTTTAAAGAAATTTGTTTTCCATACAATTATAATTGTTCATGAACTCTAAATATTAAAGTTTCATGGAATTTATTAAGTGTTCAATTTCAGATTTTAAAAAAAATGAAGCCAAGCAAGTTGGCAAACACCTGAAATCCAGCAGTTGGTAGGCTGAGGCAGGGGAATCGCTGTGAGTTCCAGGCTAGCCTGAACTACAAATGAGACCCTGGTCTCAGAAAGCCAAAACAGAAAAATTACCAATTCATAGGAAGTGAAACTGAAATAAGAAAATAAAATCATTTTATATGATTATTTTTTCAATTGAATTTTTTTAATTAAAGAAAGTTATATATTTTCTTAAAATTGTCCCTGAAGTGTTTTAAAGAATATATAGAACAATTAAAGAATCCTGAGGAATCAGGAAACCTGAGTACTAGTCCAGATTCAGCTATTTACTTGCTGTATGACCTGAACCATGTTATGATCTTTTGGGATATTGTCCCTTTAATATAATGAGAGAATTTAACAAGTTGATATATAGAGTGCTTTTAGACCTGATGCTCTGATTAAAAGTTATTACAGCAAAGCCACTGATTTGTGTATATTAGTGCAATGGTATGGTGCCATATATATATATAATATATATGTTATAAGGTAAAACATGTATTGCTTATTGATTAATAACACTTGTTTTAGGAAGAATTTTATGTGCCAATAATATAAAATTGTTTTTATAGGTACATTCCTGTCATTGAAAGGAGCTGTACTAACTTTTTCTTGTATGGACCGAACTGGTGGTTTAATGCAACCACCATACGAAGTTTGGAGGGATCCAAACAGTACAGATGAAAATGAAAAATCTTGGAGAAGGAAATTGATCATGAATCCTTCATCTTCATCCCAAGAAATAGGAGATCATCATTATACAATAATCTGTTCAGAAAAACAAGCCAAAGTCTTCTCATTGCCTTCTCAGACCTGCCTTTATGTTCATAACATCACTGAGACATCTTTTATACTGCAAGCCAATGTGGTGGTCATGTGTAACAGTGCCTGCTTGGCATGCTTTTGTGCTAATGGGCACATCATGATAATGAGGTAATTGCCTCCTTTATACATTATCTGGTAATCATAAAAGATGACTAAATTATAATAAAATGAAATTATCTTTCACTTTTACTATGTTTCATAGTTCATGTAAGAATTTTAGACATAGAATTTCATTTGGTCTTTATATCTTCTTGAGGACATAGGAAAATAAAGTATTGTTTGCATCTTCCATTTTGCAAATGTTAATAAATTAAAGTAAAATAACTTTCCAGAAGTTGGTAGGAACTAGTTGCTAGTTTTCTAGGAAAGTGAGGCCAGAACTGAATGGTATACAACACATCATCATACATACTTTAAAAATAATTTATCAGCTGAAGAATTTTATTTTACTCTTAGTGATCCATAAAAATATTACATTTCATTAATTCAGCAAACAGTTAATATATACATAGAATGCAGAAGCCTTGTTATTCTTTTTAATATCTTACCTAATTCCAAAATCATTGAAATAGTTAACCATTTTAGTAAGCCTATAAAGGATATAAAAATTAGTAAAATATGGTTCTAACCCTTAAGCATACTATCTAATTGGGGATGTGAGACTGGTACATAAGTAATTATAACTTAAAGACAATACAAATTCCAACAGAGGAAATATAATTTGAATTTTCTATTGACAAAATCCCCAGGGATCAAAATCATAGTTAATCATGTATCATAAAAGGATGTTGGGAGGAAAGTAATCTTGAGAGATATGGAGGTCAATTGTTAAGGATCTTGAATTGCAGGACAGGAGATAAAAGAAATGGAGTGTTAACGTAAGTAGTTAGCCTTTTCTAGGTATGCACTAAGAAATACGCAAGGAGAGAGAGTTTGGGTTTGGCTTTTGAACTGAATACTGTAATAGCTATATAGAAGGCAAGGAGGGAACAAGATGAGAGATGATGGGGGGAAGCATGCCACGCTGATTACTTGTGACGGCTAGCTAAGGTGGCCAAATCTTACGGTTAGAAGAGGGCTTGAAGGTTACATTTCTTTCAATTTTGATAACCGTAATGCTACTACAATATAGGAAAGCCAGGAGAATTTGGAAAATCTGATGATAAGTTTGAGAATGAATTGAAAATACCTACATTTTTAATTTATAAGTCATCCAGCAAAAGTTCAGCAAACAGTTTAAGCTCTGGGCTCTTACAAAATGTGAATGAGAGATTTGGGGGTCTTCTATGTAAATGCATTAGGAAAAGTTATGACAGCGAATGAGATACTAATACATGATATTATATTCATGTACGAGATGTGGTAGAGCACTTGCCTAGCATGAGCAAAGTCCTTAGATCCCGAACACCTTTTAAATAAAGGTAGAACAAAAAGAAATTAGAAACAGATTGAGCTGAAGATAGAAATGTAGAGCTATCTCCACATTTATACAATGGGAAAAAGAAAAGAATACAGCCAAGGAGACTGAGAAATTATCAGAAAGAAAAGAAAAGGATCAGAATGGTATAACCTCATGAAATAAAAAGGACAAATGAGTATCAAAACAAGAAGGTGATCAAATCTAGCAGAGAGGTTGGAGAATTGGGATATACGAAAAAACACTAGATCTCAACTATTTGGATTATTAATGATCTTTGAGAAAGTCTTAGCAGCATGGTGGAGTCAAAACAGATTTTTCAAGGGGGCAAGAGTAGAGAACAGGGTTGGCAAACAAGCCATGAACTAAATTTACCCTCAGCCACTGTCTGATTTTGTATAACCTTCAAGTCAAGAATTGTTTGTATATTTTAGGGCCAGGGATTTGGCTCAGTGGTTCTGCCACCTACCTTGCAAGCGCAAGGGCCCAAGTTCAGTCCCAGTACCAAAAAAAAAAAAAAAAA